GACGTGACATGTTCGTACGAACCCTTTGTACGAACAAAAGTAAGAGAAATTTAGGATAAGAATACGAACATGTTCTTGCATGAGGCCCATTGTAAATTGGGGGTCAAAGAGCAAAGAAAGAAGATGAATATTTGATGTAATATCAAATAACTAAGGGAACATCCCATTAGGTTTTTTGTGAGTGTTCAGAGCAGCCACATGGTTCATTTATAGGTTTGAGGATCTGCCTCTCACTTTTAAGCTAGATGCTCATGTTCAAACATGACAGCAGGCTTTGAGCATTTCCTTGATCCAGTCCCGGCCTCAGCTCAACACTGTAGCAGCTGTTTGGTTAATCCCACAGGTCTTACAGAATTGTGCACTGAAACCATCAGTCTCATTCCTTACAAGTAACCTGGCTGTGTTTAATAAGAGCTGTAGGACAGTATATAAGCTGATTTGACTCATCGGTATGTTTGCTGTCTGTCAATCCAACAGGACAAGAGGCTCTGAATGAATACCTGAAGACAAAGGCAGTGACCATCGAGTATTAGGTTGTCCCAGAGCAGAGAGCTGGAGGTGTCAGACAGGTGTGGGCTGCAGATCATATGAACCTCAACTTGTTAAAAACAGCAATATGTTGGATTTATCTACGTTCACAGTGAATGAGCCAATAAAAACAATGTTTTATAAGATCATCTCCGTTATCAATAAAATCTAGTGGGCACCTCGTTGTTGCAGAGATCTTTTTTGCATGTCAGACTGAAACTACTCATCCTGATTACTGTTATTTTTCACAAACATCAGCTTTGTTTGAAGCATACAAAATGAAGTTAATATGTTAACTTAGGTTCGGGAGCAGGACCACACCTCTTCCACCGGTGTAATCAGCCAGCGTCTACATAAACTCATCTCACCTGACGTTTTTTCCTCAGCTCGATTTTTCCACACTCACCGTCCCCTTTCGTCCCACTTAGGCCCCTCATCATGCCACCTCCCTCTCTACTCCCCCATCCCTTCACCCCTTCACCCTTCCTTTCTTCTGTCCTCTCATCCCTTTGCCCATCCCTGCTTCCCTTCATCCAGCCCCTCTTTTCATCCATCACCTCTTTTCATCCCTCAATCTTTTCATCATACTCTCATCCCATTTTCACCACCATCTCTACCTGAAAACTGCCTCCTATCCCTTCCACTTCAGGTTCCAGCTTGGGGAAGGGGGAGGGGGTCCTACACAGGCACAGGAAAGCTTTTTCTGAAGACTGTGCCCCACTCTGAGTCTTCTTCTCGAGTCTTCATCCACGCACCTCCCCATATGTCATTTATCCCTTCATCCCCTTCCTTTAATAAAATCTTTAAACTTATTTCATAGCGTGGTCCTTGCTAGTGAAACGTGTGTTTGCAGAAACAAGTCTTGATCATTTAAACAGCTTTTTTAGGCTAAATTAGACAGGTTTAAGTACAATTCCATTGTATTAGCAGTAGAACTAAGGAACAGTTCAAGAAACCAACCCTAACTATAGGATTTATCAACAAGATATAACTCAGTGCCAACCGTGGTGGGCTTCATTATTTAAATAATCTCATAAGGTGAACAGACGTACAGACAGAAAAACCAACGGATGGACGGGGCTAAAGTCATCTTGTCATGGGTCAGGGTTTGCCTATCCTGAGGTCTATGAAACTAGGATAAGGGATTAAGCCAGGATTTTGGTGTAAACCTGAATTACACACTGCAGATATTAATGCTCAACTCTGATTTTTTGAAAAAATTCGGATCTTTTGGCGTGATCGTTCATGTTACATTTTAAATGCAACCTCCACCAGACTCCAGTGTGAACTCTACACGGTACTGATGTGACCTGCATGCGCAGTAAACGACTCGACGTCTCATTCAGCCGGCTTTTTGTTTAAAACCCACCGTAACAGTCCCAAGTGCCCTTGATGGGTAATTATTGTTGTACAATATGATGGCTGTCTGCTTTTTCACATTTGGACCAGGCAAATGTAAAGAAAAATATCAAAACTAACTAAGGAATAGTTCAGGAAACCAACCCTAACTATAGGATTTATCAACAAGATATAACTCAGTGCCAACCATGGTGGGCTTCATTATTTAAATAATCTCATAAGGTGAACAGACGTACAGACAGAAAAAACAATGGATGGAGTCATGGAACTACCCGAGCACACTGCTGAAGAATGCCGAAGACAGAGACGTCGTGGAAGTCACTACAGGCAGGACATATTCATGAAGGAGGACTACAGAGAGACGATGACTTAAGTGGTAAAAGTTCCATTTATTTAGAGGATATTTATGATTTATCTGCAAGTGATGAAGAACAGAGCAGAACTGACTGTAGTGAAGTTACAGATCAATAAGAAGGTTCTGATCCATAAAAACCACCACGAAGGCAAGAAGACGCAGCTCAGCCACAGCTCCACCAGAGACCATCCTGGTCCTGAACACATCTTCCTGGCTTCAAATCATCCACTTCTTACTGCTACATGCCAGTGTTAACAATAAAATAAATGTTTTATTAAAAAAAATCTGATTTTAAGTACAATTTTCCATCAAACCAGCTTCTGCTCCAGAATATTTTACATCTGAGTTTCAGTCGCTGAAGCAGGAAACACACAACCGCCTGATACGGTTAATTTATGTCAAACACATTTTAAACTAATCAGCAGTTTTTAAATTGTGCTGAAAGGTCACGTGAAACCAGAGTTACAATAAATAATTCACCCCGCATCTTTATTTTTTTTCCTTCTTGAGAAAGCTAGTAGTTAGATCAGGGATGCCCAACCTTTTCTGAACCAAGAGCTACTTTTGAAGTCGGCAGTTTGCCGAGAGCTACTCGTCCAGTCTCAGTATGAAAAAAAAAAAACATATGGTCTCCCTACTCCTCACTTCTTTAAAGTAAATAAAACAGAATTTAATGTGTTGCTATTATTTAATTTAAAGTATTGTCAAACAAAACTATCTATTTAACCATATATTTACCTACAAAAAAAGAAAAGATAAAATCCTTATTTAACTCCTGACAGAGAAACAGAAAAGTGATGCTTGAACAAAAAGGATCAATTTTTTTTACCTCCTTCAATTAGTACTCACAGTACACACAGTGTGAGCAATGAGGGCTGAAAACCTGCCCAGTGAGAACCACAGAGTCAAATAACTTTGGAGCACGGGAACTCGTCTCCGTTTATTCAAAGAACTCTCCTCTCTTCTCTCCATACAGGGGAGGAAAAACAAAACAAAAATTTATCAGGGTCAACATGGCTACCACAAGAGTACTGCCCTTTTTTCAAAGTCAAAGCACACAATATAAAACTCTCTCACAGGCGGCTATAAAACCCGGTGCTGAGCTTCCAGGACCGGTTTCACCTGATCAGATCTGTTCCTTTTATTGCCTGGAACAGATCCATCAGGTGCGTTTCTGAATTTTATGCATTTTTGCAGAAATATCGCCCACCAGGGGTTTCTGGCTGATTCCAGGCGGGAGAGCGGGTGCTGGATGTGGGACCACGGTTCCACCTCACTGGATCTCTTCCTTTTATTCCCCTGCAGCACAAGCAGCCCCGTGCTGGAAATCAGCTGTTTCACCCGCCGGAGCTCACCCGACGACATTTGATTGCTTATATCTCCACGTGGGAACATCTCAGGAACTTGCAACCACCTCCAGGTTGTAGCGAAGATCCAGCCCATTAAAATGAGACATCTCCTGCCTGGATCCGATGCTCAGAGCCGATGCTAGAGGCTCCGGAGTAAATTGAATACTACATCGCCTGCCAAAGCGCCTTTTTCGGCCGGTCGTTGGTTAATAGCTCCACAGGGGAACGTCCAAGGAACTTGCAACCACTCCAGTTTATAGAGGAGGACTGCACCTTTCCAAAGTCATCTCACTTTCCCGGATCCGATGCTCAGAGCCCGCAGGAGAAGCAAATGAAGGTTGAAATTTCCTCCCAAAAATGCGCGTAAAATTCACTGTCGTGCGTAATTTGATTATAGCTCCGCGGGGCAACGTCACAGAGACTCCATTCAAGTATCAGCTTATAGGGGAGAGACAGGGCTTTAAAACCCAACCAACCACTCTGGGATGCAACGCTCAAAGTCGGCGCTACAGGCTCCGCAGCAAGGTTGCGCTGCGCGGGTACGTGGGAATCAGCTGGCGGGTGACGAGTCGCCCGCGAGAGACTGGTTGGGCACCCCTGAGCTAGATGGTGCTTCTGCTGTAAATCTGCCTCCAGTCTGGCACTTCCCTGACATCATTGCCCATATATGGAATGGAGCCATTTTTTCAGAGCAACAAAATCATTCTTTAAAAAAAATTAGCATTATTTTTAAAGAATTTCAATTAAACATACCTGGGTTTATTTTTTTTTATCTAACATATTTTGCTGGATATATAATTTGAAAACATGGTGGGTTATGGATGCTGCATTTAGCATGTCAAATCTGAAGTTTTTGCTAAATCTGAGCTGAATAAATAATAATCTGATGCTTGTTTAGTTCAATGTTTATATCTGAACCTGCCTCTGACCAGGACGCTCCGGCACACACACACACACACACACACACAC